CGATGGTATGTGAGATGAGGTAGCCGTAGACTGAGGGTCGAGCGGTGGTATTATTGATTCCTCTCCGGCAATGTTGTCGATGACGTTTGAGCCGTCGATGCCATCAATAACATGGACTGAGCTTCGTCTGGATACAGAACGTGATGAGGATTCATGGCCAGTGAATGTTTCTTCTTGAACTAACCAGAACGGACCAAAACTTTTAAAAATGTAGAGAGGGCTATCTCCCATTGTCCTATTAAATATAAATGCTCGGAGTGTTTTCCAGAAGTCTATGTAGAGTTCTAACAATCTTTCGAATGTCTAATTTTAGGTAGAATTGTTGCCGTACACGTGTATTATTAGATTCTATTAAGAGTAGTTGCCCCCAAGTATATGTGATGGTAGAATGTATGTAAATGTTCTAACTCCCTTTTGGTTCAAAGTGTATTGCTCTATAAATGCGTAAAGACTGTTGACATGGCTTTTATATATTAAAACAAGTCTGACGATAAAATGTTCTATATTTCAGACCGAAATATCCCGGTGGCTGTGTAAAAGGCGGAGATGTGGCCCAACCAGGTAATATATTAAGTTGGAGGGTGGATGTGGAAGTTTCGACGCGGATGCCAACTGCCGTAATGCCAAGTTATAGAGTATACACGTGGTGAGAGAGTGTGGACTGCTGCTATAAATAAATACAAGGGTGCACCAACTTGGGAAGGGCGGAAGAATAGATTAACTGGTGATTATTTTCGTGATAAGAAACTGGTTCGAATGCAACTTCTCTTGGAGGAGTGGGGGAAGAGGGGGGGGGGGAAGGGGAAAAGAACAGAAGTTGTTTGTATAATACACACCAGTATTCAATGATATGTGGATAGGGGAACAACCAAGAGGACGGAGACAACGACGAGGTCAAGGGTCAGTTGTCACTAATGAGAATACTAGAATAAGGAAGGGGGACAAGAGGGGGGAGGGGGAGAGTAGAAGAGAAGGTGGAGCAACAGATGCCTGAACGCAAGAGGGAGGAAGGACAGCTGGCGACCGATACGCACTGAAACAAATACAGCAAGTATAGAGTACATGGTAAGACAGTAAAAGTAGTCGAATGTACGAGTTTCTGTGGTTGGTGATTACCAAAAGCAGTAAAGAACGAAATTATGTGAAAAGTTGATTGGATGGATTAATATAAGACTGGGAATGTAATGATATGCCAAAGCAGGGCAAATAGATAATCATTTTGGATATTAAAATATCTTAGTGTTCGGTATGTAGTATCAAAACATGTAGCATCGCATATATTGTATTTATAATCATGTTATTGATGTAACTAGTAGAAAACTTGTAATGGAGAGGCAATTGTTGCACACATTAATATATCGTATATCATTCATTGTAATAACACATTTCTAATACTTGTCCAGTAGTTGGCCCGTAATTGCAAAAACCGTTCAAGAAATTGTGTCGTTGTGATGATAGTGTTTGAATATGCTTGGTGTTTGACGCTCGGTGTTGACGCTTGTTGGTGTTGGTGTCGACGCTTGTCGGTGTTGGCATCGGCGGCGTGCTGCACAATTTTTTCAACGTACATAATTTGTTATTCATAAAAGAATATTCTCGGATATTAACAAAAAAAAAACATTGTCAGCATTTTGGGTACTTTTGATAAACTTCCTTATAACGTAATTCTTGCACACGTTGTCCTCTTACCGTTTATTGCCATAAACCTGTTTGACTACAAGCTTTTAGTCAGGCTTTTGGACATATTTGCCCTCGACCGTTTCCTCATTGTTAATTGGAGTGTTTAGATAACGTCTCTTTCCTTCTCGTTCATCCGAATTATTAATACCGACTGGCATTCTGCTTTCTGTGGGGTTACTCGGGATGAGTACAAAGATTGTGTTGCGCTGTCTGTTTAATCTGAGCGATTCAGTGATTGTCCGCTATTAATGTCACACTATTCGTCTGCTGCAGCGAAAGCAACAGTTGGTGAAACGAATACTATTCGTCTTATGTCTTACAGAAGAAAGCGTGCGTAACCTCATGGCCTACCCTTCTTTAGTGAATTGGGACATTACACGGTGAAACAGAACTAATATTGAGTATTGGTGAGGGGAATACGAAAAATCTTTCATACAAGATAAAATAGGAATAGCATATTTTTACATCAATATTGGTGCAGCAGTAACTTACGACTGTGAGACTGTTTACCCATTTAATATCGGTCGATCGGCGAAAATTTTTTTTTGGTTCAAGAAAGCAATAATAGTATCACACATCTCTTAGTGTCACTATTAATAGCAGCTTACCAACTTTAAATACTGAAATATTTATTTATTATATTACTATCATCATGTATTACAAAGATCAACTATCACATTCCACATGACTATGTTTCACTCGCATTTACACTACACGATACTAACGCATACATCCAACATGTCGTATTTACTGCCGTTCTTATAATTCTCTTCACTCCCTGTTTCAGTTTAAACCGGTTGACATAATTTACTTGACATGTCCCCTCTCTTTTTCTCTCCTCCCCCACCCGCCCACCGGCTGTGTGATGTAATCCCCAATAGGAAGGTGTGGGGTTACTGGGACGAATAAGCATTGTACCTTTTGTGATGCTTTATATGGGGTTTGTCGTTCTATTTACGGTTTAGAACGTTACAATAACCTGCGTTTGAGCGACGATGCAATGGCACGATCGCCTTCGCAGAAAACTTTTTTTTTTTTTTTTTACAATCGGCTTCAGTAATGTGTAATCGAGAAAACTCGATTACGAATTACATACCATCATGTATAACTGCTGTAACCGTGAGGATATCACGCCTAATAGTCGTACGATGAGTTGGGTCGTCACAACACTTATCGTGCGTTAGTGCGTGCGTGCAATACTCTAACTCAATTTTATGTTAATTACAGTCCCATTTGTTTGGTACCACTTTAGCAAAAAAGAGAATCAACCCCATTTCCAATACCAAATTAGTAGTTCCACCAATTTATACTCAAGACTTGCAACTCAATTCTACTACGATTATATTGAATTGATGTGATACCAAAAGGTTTGCTTTCGAGATATCCATACAGTGTTCAGTTGTATAAATTCTCAATTGAAAATGCACACATTCTCTATCTGTCTCTTCTATCATCATTTTTTTTCCCCTCACCAAAATCCCATTATGTATAACAACTTGTGCTATGTTACGTCAAATTTTTTTCTCAGCCCGTGTGTTTGATAAACCAACATTTAATTTCACTTGTTATTTCGGAACAAATCTTCGGTGACATCATATTAATTCCTTGAGGGAATTTATGGGGTGAAAAGAGAGGGAAAAAAAGAACTTTCGGGCATCATTTTGTTGCATATTATAATTGCTCTAGTCCTCTTACATGAAGCTAATAAATGACCGCATGGGGTACACCAGACAAAACGATGTTGCTTGTCGCACAAAATTTAGAGAGGTATTATGTCATTGATGAGGATATTGCGAATAGAACAAATTAGGAAGGATGTGACACTGTACATATGCGGTTCCGAGCGATAGCCAGATCTCTTTCCTTTGCGAGCGTTCTAGTAAAATCGATAACAATGATAACGCATCATCTATAGTCGAACGCCTTTTTTTTTATCGACAAACACGACGAAACTTCATTCCACAAATTTATTACGTTTCGGCTGATATGATTCAATCGATATTACTGCAATGTTTCTGGTAAAGAAGTGGACCAAATCTCATGTGCATTGATCTGCAAGCAACACCGCATGAGACTGCGAATGAAAGGGCCTATTTTGATGACCGATCATAGAGTCATCGTTCCGTCGTTTATAGTACTCGTACATTCTATAAAAGTGGTTTTGTTTTCATACTTTGCCTTATATCGCGCTCTCGCTTGGCGTAGTCTTTGTTCGGTAAACACCTTATATCGCTGGGCAAAACGGCCACAATTCGTTCGAAAAACGAGAATATTTAATTCAGTGCGACCAAAATAAGACAACAACTTTTATTCGCATTTTGTACTCTTCGCTAATCTCCTGCTGTATTATGCTTGGCTTTAATCACACGTTCTTGTGGATAAAAATATGTAAAGGTTTGAGCTGGTTTTTATAATAGTTTGACAGTTAACACTAAGAACATAGTAAGTTATTACATAATTATTCGAAAGCTAATAAAATTTGGCATTCTCTGTTTCCCATGCATGCGTTTCCGTGTACATTCTGGCAAACCACATTCCAACATGATTGCATGCGGTCTTTTCATCTACACGATATATGGACATTGCATGGTTTTCCAAATCAATTCCCCACATATGAAACGTACGTTGGTTTCTCCAACTATTCTATTTAGTGATATAGCGAGTCTACTCGGCTTTTAAAGTAGGGCCTTTCAGCAGTCTCTAAAAGACGATACATATCGGTAATCGGGGGTGTACGAATCTATCAGAATTAAAAAGAGTTGCAGGAGAAATATAGCGTGCTACACAAGCGATAAAGAAGATAATAGGCAAATGCTTGCTTATTGTAATTAAAATATGACAAACCGATTGTAATCATTTTAATCTCGACAATATCATTGCCGATCGAAAACGCCGAGGATCGACTGGATTTTTGTCACTATTCCAAAGTTAGAATTCGGTCATAGAAATGTTAATTTGCCTACCAAACACACTTTACGACAAGTCTTGCTATTCAGAATATTTCACAAGGCAATTCTTCCGATGCACAAGAGAACTTTTTTTTTCCATTGTACATAATTTATGATGCATAATCTATGTGTATTATGCATTGACATGTACGAATGCGTATGCGTCTGATCAATTGTGAAATGGTATGGACCACAAATTGATCAAGAATACGCGTTGTGAATGATAACAAGCGATTGATACGAGAAAATCCATTTATGATAAACAGCATAAACAAAAACCCCATTTCATATGTCAATCATTGGAGTTTGACAAGATTGTTTACCTAGCGAATGTAAGCCACTTAATTTTCAACAAGCAATTTGTGCACAATCTTTCGAGTGTCATCATTATTGTATTTTACAAGCGCTACGTGTACGAGCCATGATGGATGTGGGACTCTAACTATTCAATCGTTATCTTGGTTTGAATTGCAAGATTTAAACGCTGTTTTTATCAAATAATAATTCATTACAAACAAAAACAGTCAACCTAATTACTTTTAAAATAGGGTTTGTTTATAACTTATTTTTATGGTAAAATACACCCCTGATATACTTTTATGTATGCGTAGTTTCTTATAACAGCAAATGCAAAGATATTTGGGTGTTAGCTACCACACTTTTTTAACCGTTTCTTGTTCTAATTATTTTTGCCAAAGCAGTCCATTTAATTTTTATAGCACACAAACACAAACTGTTGCAACATTGATAGTTATTATTCATATAATTCTCTTTTTTAGTACTGTAAATTAGCAGCATTATATACTATTAGATGTTAGGATACAGCAATAATTGACAGTGCTATAATATACCAAGAATAATAATAAACAAATTATGTAACTCTGAACACTATCAATACGTAAAGCTTAAACTAGGCAACTGTATTACAAATTTTGTTAAAAACTTGCTGTAATAGTAAGATAAAATTTTTGAATTGTTTATCTTATATCAAATGTAAAGATAAAGTGCAAATTGTATTAGAATAAGAGCATCTTGAATACTAACTGTAACCAAATTTGTAGTAAACTGCAACAACTCAGACAAAGTAAATACTTTGTTTTGTAGCATAAATAGGTAGCTGATGTGACTGAAAAATAAACCAAATGACTGATAATGTTTTAAAAACGGTTTGCTTTAATAGCGCAGCTGTAGTCAATGTAAATTTATTATTATAGCAAGTATGGCTAAAATTTAATTAAAATGGCCCAATTTTTTGCTAAAAATTGAACATGATTTTTTTTAAAAAAAATTATACACGTATAAACTTATAATATAAAACAAATTTACATCACGTCTATCATAGTAATAGAATCGACCATTATTGTAAGTATTTTAAAGAGAGAGAAAATTGTTTTTATGTTTTAAATTAATGATATTAAATTCTTGAAAAATATTTAAATAAAAAAAATTACTTATGAAATTTACAACTTTTAAAAAAATCCAAAAGCTTGAAGAAATATAGAACAAATATCTACGAAATTTAAATTACCTTTTTACTTTTAATAAAGTTTTTCCAGCCTCAGTCTAAGCAGCTTGACCATTCTGTTGCTTTTAATAATTTGTTTTTTCTTCTAGTTGCTTAATTTTCCTCCAAACTCTTATAATTTCTGCTGTAGAGGGCGAGCGATTTTACGATATGATGATATCAAAATTATTATACGCATTGGTTACAACTATAATACTTTTTTTTAGTTCAGACTACATATCAAGGAACATATAGACGCAAATTTGGCAAGCAAACCAAAAAGAATCATGTAGATCGATTAAAAAATATGGATTTTAAAGTTTATGCTCTATATAAGCGATCCAATCTGGTATGTTTTTATATTTTGTTTATGTTTACATTAATGCTTGAGAAATTTGTTGGATACATTCGAGTTAAATAATTTTTATTCGGATACTTATAATCGCGACTGTGCTTCTCTCCTCCTGGAAACTTGGCTACTTCCTTCCTTATAATTTCTAATGCTCCTTTAGAAGTAGCTCACATTTTGTGCAATGTACTTATTCTTTCATAAGGTGCAAAATGACTCACTCTTCATGATGATAATATAATAGACATAGGGAGGGTATGCATACGTTGTTATTAGTACTATTTTAAGTATCACGCTAACAAGGAATGCTACCAGTGTCGTATTAGAAGATCGCGAGACTTGCGAATACTATTGGTTAATTGACATTACGGTAAATAATAATTACGTAGTTTAAAGAAAATTTTTTAATGTACGTGGGGCGTAATGACAACTTGAGATAATCTGTGGTAGAGTCTCTACATGAACGTAGGTGCATATGTTTAATTGCAGATCGTAAGGTTAGATAATATTGCGATCATGTTATGTAATGAATGTCGAGAGAAGAACTATGGCGTAATATCTGACATTCAATGTAAGCGATAAAGCATATAGATTTCGATGTATTTTCCCTTTATGCGATAATGAGTGTTTTACCATAGCAGGTATGCATTCGTAATTTGAAAGTAGTTACTAGTGGGCCATCGCGATGATCTCATCAGTTGATGACGTCAGCGCGAAGAATATCTTTCGGAGAATGTGTGTTGTGCCACGCCCCACACCAACGCGCTTGCATCCCATTTATCTGTCACTTGTATATCTGGTTTCATTATAGACCATCTGTAAATATCTAGCTTACTTGCACTTGATAAATAATATTTTTTATTCAGTTTCAGTATGTCAAAAGCAACTGCCGAGGAACATTCCAAGTTGCAGAGCATTTTCGCAAAGTCTCAAATTTCAACACAGGAAGGCTTGACAGAGCCGCCAAAGAAAAGAAAACGCGGTAGACCAAGAAAGAAGCCTAAGGAACGTGAACCTTGTGTCGATCTCCTTCAGGAACTGAGTAAATTACGGTTCAAGAGGACGATGGAGGACATATATATTCGATATGGAAGAGACTTAACCGAAGAATCTGACGAAATAGATCTTATTACGGGAGAAATAGTGGTTGATCGGGGTTTTTTGCGAATGACACCGAAAGCCCGATTAGGAACATTATCGAAAATGATAATTCTGGATGACTACGATGATTATGCCAACGTTGAGGCGGATGATGAAAAAGACGAAGATGACATGTGGGTATTAGATCCATGGGACTATACTGTATCGGCTGCAGACACTGAAGACTATATGTGGGCTTCTGGTGAGGATAGTGCTGAAGATACTATTCCATTTACGAATAGTTCTATCTCTAGTACTGAAGAAACAAAGACACCGTTTCCACAGACATTATCAACGAGACATAATACTATATCCCTTGCTAAAGGATATAAAGTTTCTAATTGTATTACAGTGGATGACTTTGTATATTCTGGCTGTTCATCATCATCGTCGGATGAGGAATCGCCATCACAACAACGTAAACGAACGATGTTTAATGATTTTGAAATAAAGTTAATAGATGAATGGAATAATCCAATATTATCGGGAGCTGAGAGTTTGGAAGCATGCTCAGAAGACGGCGATGACGAGGGTGAATTTTAGATCCGGCTTGAAAAATTTCGTAATAGTAATAATAATAAAAGTCAATAAAAAGTCCGATCGAAGATGTCATGTGATGTTCACACGATTATTATACAGGTAAAAAGCCTTGTTTAAACCGGCGGACCTGATTTCTTTGACCAGTTTAACCAAAGACCGTTTCAGATAAATGTTTAGCTAGAAAAAATTTCTAATTAATGAAAATTCGGACAGTCGTTTAAACCCGAGGCCGGTTTAATCAGCGCCGGTTTAAACAGGTTTGAACGTACCGAGAAGTATCGTTTTCCCCCAATGATTTCAAAGAGGAACACTTTTGGGATATCCCACTGATGATTAGCGAAAACAAAATGTCTGGGAAGTTATGTAGTACAGAGATGAGCACGTTAAGGTAATCTCTCTTTATTAGCGTGATATACTTAATGATTCATAGACACGAGTTTGGTTTTTTTTCTCCCTATTTCTTAGCTCACGGGATCATGTCATCCGGTTCTCTTTAGTTCAGTAAGATTCTTTATGAATAATCACTATTCAATGTAATCGTTTAGAAATTCAGGACATCGACTAAAGCTCTCAAGTTATATGGAAGCTATGACGAAGATCGGGAGCGCGTGAACGTCTAAGCTCTCTTGAATAAAATTTATATAAAAATGCTTGCCATAAATAAGGGAACGTAGTGCAAACCCTTCCACAGCTCTCTCAACTCTAGTGATAGTTGGCTTGACGGATTTAAGAAAAGACATAATACAAAGTGTCGGTGAATATGGTAAAATCTGGTGAGGGTTATAGCGCTTCTCTCGAAGGAACGCGTTTAAATGCGATGACATGACTTTTTTTTCTGGGTATTTAACTATTAGAATCAAGTAAGACATCCAGAGGCGTCATAGCCTGAACGAGGAATCGAAAGAATGCTGTGCTTGACCGCTGATTACCGCTTTGAATCCCACCGATTAAAACTAAAAAAAGCGAAAGAGGGGACGGTCCAAGGTTACGGCATTACTCGCTTGTAGTGCATTAGGAGACAAATTCAAATCGACTTTTATCTATCGATACGACACCCACGGGACATTAATATCGACACATATTAATTATCGACATCCTCTGCCAGCAAACACAACAGCTCGTATCTAATATTCAGCAGGGATAAGCTGAGCTTTAAGATACAGTCAAACCTGCTTAACCGGCGCTGATTAAACCGATCTCGGGTACCACCGTCCCAAATTTTCATTAATTAGGAAAATTTTTCTAGCTAAAACATTTATCTGAACCGGGTTTTGTTAAACCGGCCAAAAAATCAGGTTTTATCTGTAATAAGTAATGTGCATTTAGGCCAAATATAGCTACTCTATAAGAGTGTGATAAATGGAAACCGGAATATCACCTTTGAAACTCTCAATATTGGGTTCGATTCTTCCGCTGGGGAAAAGACTATAAAGACTGTTGGGAATTTTGGAGATTATTTATGGAACTAGAGCAAAATATTCAGAAGTCAAAAAGCAATTATAGCATTACATCGTTGAATTGTTAGAAGACAATATTACCAACAATGGCCAGGCAATTGTAACCGCGTTCCCGGAAATGACGCGGAAGAAGACTAGCCGACAAGAATTTCCGGAAATATATTTACCAAATGTCAACTAATAGTGTTAACAATGACATTCAATGATGTAAGGACTAGAAAAATAGTCTCCATTAAAAGCTTTCTGACATAGTGCATGGCAAAATAATAAATACGGGACTTGGATATATTTAAAATAATTATAATCTTTGTATAATTAAAAGATTTTGCTGGACACGTCGAACTTATAACAAGATTTACTGTATAATATCTTTACGTGATCCAATAGTCGTGAATAATATTCGATGCTTTACATCCTTAAAGATAATGTACCGCCCTTAAAATTTATAAAGTAATCTCAAATTAAAACAAATTTAGGTGCTCGTTAGTTACTTTATTTTAGTAATAATATACAACCGCCACATCTTCCTTTAGATTATATACTGTACGTCTTAGACTCTAATGTATTCGTTGCACCATTTTTTCTTTGCGCAATCCTCTTCTGTATGAATGCTCTGACCTGTTGGTGTCCTACTTCTGTCACGACAAACATGCACTTTCTTGCGTTACTCCAAAGAACAACCCCCAGAGTCTGAGCATAACGAAGAACATTGTCATAGTCTGCCTGACATCGGAATTGTTCGTACAAATGTCCTGGAAGCCGAACATGTCTTGCATTAGACAGACTGGCATGTTGTAAGTATAACGTAATAAGGTCTGATCTAATAATTTACCTTCCGATGCCTGCAGTCTATTTCTTTCCATTTCCCACAATCTAATCTGATCAATAACAGTCAAAGGTAACACTGGCATTGATTTCTTCATTTGGGGATGTGCATGGCTGTTAAGATAAGAGATTATCTAAAGCGTCGTAAAGATCAAACAGTGTCAATATACAAACTGGATGTTTTCCATCGCCTCTCCCAGCATGGCTCCCTGCACACCTACCTGTTCGGCTGTTATTCCATTCGTCAATGCTTCTTTTATACTATCTCTCGTTATCATCCCACATACCATATTAGCAAATCGACATTTGAGATCGCAGAACAAATTCAGTACGGCAATCTGTAGTGGTGAATCTAAGCAGGAAATATAACTCATGTTATCAAGTGGGAAGTATTATGAAATTATATCACATAACTGCAAACCTGTATATGCATATAATTTATAGTTAGTCTCGAGTATTATGAAACCTTGCTCCGTAGCAATATCCTCCCCAGCAACTGGGTTCACGGTTGATGGTGTGGGATGTCTTCCCAATAGTGCGCTGGTACCGGAAGTTAATGTCGTAGCAAGACGGGTTGGGTAATAACGCCTTGATGATCTCTATGGATGAATAAGAAGTTAAGATGTGGTTATTAAATAGTAACTCTTAATTGGCATCAAACAAAGCAAACCTTTCTTCGATACAATAGACCAAAGTTAGCTAAATCCTCAACTACTTGCTTCTGCGTATCCGTTAATTGTTCGACAGAGTAATCCTGTCATGAAGAAACGAAAACTATCAGTCATAGTAACGGATCACCTTAAACTATGATAACTTGCAATTTCGCACCGACCTGTCCCAACTCGAGGCTCCCTAACATAAAAAAAAAGTTTAAAACCTCAACAAGATCCATCTGTAAAACCTGAAAATTGTCAACACTTTGTTAGTAAAGCTGCAGCAGAAGGCTTTCATTTCATATCAGAGACTAAGCTTACTTCAGCATAGTCCAAATACTGTAGTAAGAATGCCCAGACTTGAGTGTTGACATCTTGTAACAAAAATTGGAAACCCTTGTTTGTAATTTTCAACTCATTATTATCCCTAATTTCATTAAATAATGTTAGATTATGAGCTAATATCGGTTGTACACTATACTAATAAGTGATCTTACAACCTCAAAGACATTAGTCCTGATCTCACAAGTAAGTCTCGCACTGCCTTCTTCGGTGTCTGCATACTAGCTGTGCCGACCATGTAGTGTAATATAGATTCCCACTGTTTTGTTGCATGATTATCTAAAAAGGCTACTACATTCTCTGGTCGATGTCTATCAACGGACGAGGATGGGACTCCGAAGCTTTGGTGTTCGCCTCTGGAAGACGGAAAGAGGGAGGGGAAGTATAAGCGATAAAGTAACAGACATGGCAAGCATAATGACAAACGTAAACGAGATAACGAACCCTCCGGTCAAAGCATTCCGAAATTGTTCGCGAAATGTGGTGTTCATAACCATATGCCCGTGATCGTCCATCAATATGTAGAGTTTTGACATTTTCTGTAAAGCTTCATCTAATTTCCTTTAAAGAAAATCGAGTAGAGTTACCTATATGTCTTTCTTTGCATTACTCAAACATTTCATAGAACAATCAATCAAATCAATTATCAATCAATATGCCGTCGTAATTTATACGTAAGTGAGAGATAAAGATACACACACTGTTCCCTCTGACTGGTAGACCCATTGATGAAGATCAGATTTCGAAAGTTGTTCTTCAGTAAAAAGCAGTGACATTACTATTTGCTTAGCAAGAGGTGGAAGCAGCCTTTATTATTTTTGAAATATATGAGTATATAGTATTAAATAATATCAAATATCAGAAAAATAGTACCAACTAAGATGTTATTTTAAACATGCGCAGTCTGAGAGGTAGTAGTTGTATTCAAGTGCAAATCGGATCACGCGCACACAGTCATCGGTGCAAAGATTCTACAACTGGAAAAAAGGCTAAAGCTCATTTGTAAGATCTGGTTGTGTTGATCTTTCTTTGCACCGAATACTACTCTATCCTTTCGGGTGACTACCAAGACTGTCTTAACAACCTGAATATGGCTAAGCATGTTGCGGACTCCAAGTATAGCCTATCCAAAGTAGCTCTAGGTAAGGCCTCAAGGTGTTCATATATATTTGTCTTGAAGTGCGAGATCGTCGGGACAGGCATCTTGAGCAGACCTTCAATTTTGTTAGTGTCACAAACTGCATGTTATGTATTATATTCTATATTACTATGCTTGTGCATCATTGAATTCCAATACTAATAAAGCCACCGGGGAATTTTTTTAAAAAAACTAAACGGTTTACAAAAATACCAGCATTTTCCCTTTAGAGCAAAAGTCGTCAAAGCTCAGCTGGTTCCTAATGGTTCTTTCACCGAATTTCGGGCGTTCTCAACAGCTTTGATGCCCCGATCAAATTTGGAAATAAACAAGAAGTTAGTAATATAGTAAGGTTTTGTGTGACGCAGGGATTATTGTAACTTAAACTCCCAAACTCAATGAAGTAATTCTTCTGCCAATGGTAGAGGGAATGTTAGATATAGATAATAATAAGGGTTTAATATTAAGGAGGTGAGGCTAGTCAATTTCCCTAATACTAAAGTAAAAGATGATATTAATAAACATTGCCTTATTATTATTATTATTATACTGTATTTCTTTTTGTTGATTTGGTAAAGCTGGTAATTTTTTATTCTCTGAGTAGTTTCTTCACTTAACTGCCAAATTATTCTCCAATAAATCTATTTGTATTTGGTCTAGAAATTTTCCTATTACAGCATCATGTTTCAACACTGCCTCAGCCATTTGGCACTTCCTCCATTTCTTAATGCTTCTCTGCCTCTTACCACTCCATCTATACTTCACTGTCTAATTTTTCTGTTTTAATTTTGCTATCCTTTTCTTCCAGTTTTTCTTTAATTTACTAATCTCATTTTAGCCTCTAAGTGAAATTCTGGGTTATTGGTTTGCAGTGGCGGCATATTAAATATTTTTCTTCATCTAAATATCGAGCATCAGCAATAAGTCAATGCAACATTGATTCTAGGGTGAAAGGACTTAATATTTAATGAAAGTCTAGATTTATCAGTTCCTGGCTTATTAAACCATGAAATCTTCAATTTTCTTTCATAAAAGGAGCAATTACAGTACCCTCTTTACAAATTGAGTTAGTATACTAGTCAAGGATGATGCTTGAAGCTCCAACAACGAGTTTGGGTTATTGATGAACATTTGGCATGGGATAATCTAATATATCTTGCAGTAGGTCGTGTAGAATATGTGAATCAACTTGTGCGAATTGAAGGTCCTCCATTACCTCCTGAGATTGAGGAAGCAAAAAATAAGAAAGCAATCGAACATTTACTGAGGTTATTTCTGGAAAACTCGTAGCATATATGGATCAAGATAAGAAAAAGGGCCGCGAATTTAATTTATCTGTTGACTATATCCTTACATTAAAAGATTTGCAAAAAAATAAATGTGAATATGCCTCAATGAAATGTTATGGGCATGGGATGAAGCAGTGGATCGAATTGATAATAAATTAGGTCACATTGAAGGAAATGTACGCCTTGTCTGTCTTGAATGCAATCGGAATTATCGAGTCTAGCCCACTCAATGAACCAATACAAAAGACAACATTTCCTATAATAATATTTTTTAATAATAATAAATATCCAATTCAGAAATTTATAGGTATGACAAAAATTCTTGCCGAAGACGATCACATTGTGAACGCGATGGGCCTATCCTGAGGGTTCTTCTCAGCATCGCTTCAGTGATGGGCTCCATGTGACTAGCGCTA